GTCGAGTCGACCCCCGACTCATAGCAACCCCTCCTTGGGTTTCCGAGGCAGTATCACTATGGAAGTAGGAATACCAGCTTTATTGAGGTGTAATTCACACATCATACGGTTTAGCCATTAAAGTGTACAATTTAGGGGGTTTTGTGTTGCCACAGTCTGGTTTAAACATCACCTCAATTGATTTTAGAACCTTTTCATTATCTCTAAGAGAAATCCCACCCCGGTAGCAGTCTCTTCCCGTTTCCTGCGACATCTCCCCAGCCGTAGACAAACCACTCACCGACCTTTTGTCTCTATAGATTTGTCTATTCTGGACACTTGCTATCAATGGACTCAGACACTATGTGCTCTTTTGTGTCTGGCTTCCTTCACTCAGTGGCATGTTTTCAAGGCTCATCTGTGTGTAGCGTGTGTCAGGGCATCACTTGCCCCTGTGACTGAGGAATATTCCTTCATGGGCATGGACCACATTCTGTTTATCCGGCGCCTGGTGGTGGACACCTGTGTTGTGTCCGCCCCCCGGCTGTTGGGCACAGTGCTGCAGTGAGCCCTGGCCAACGGGTTTCTGTTGGCATTCCCGCTCTCGCTTCTTTTGGCCGTAGACCTGGGAGTGGAATTGCTGGGGCATGTGGTAATTCTGTACTTAACTCTTTAAGGAGCAGCCCGACTGTTCTCCACAGCGGCTGCACCATCTTCCATTTCAGCCAGCAAGGCCTGGGTTCCGGTTTCTCCACATGCTCGCCAACACCTATTATTTTCTGTCTCCCTCTGATTACAGTCATCCTGGTAGAGGTGAGGTATCTCGTGGTTTTGATTTGCATTTCCCTATTAGGGAAGTATAGCAAGGATCATGGAGCTGGCGCGGGATCGGGCAGTGTTTCGTTCCGCTGTGCATGGGGTCGCTGAGTTGGAAACGACTCGATGGCACCTAACAACAACAGCAATAATGAATGAGGCTGAGCATCTTTTCGGGTGCTTGTCAGCCACTGGTATATCTTCTTTGGAGAAAAGTTTATTCAAGTCCCTTGCCCGCTTTAAAATCGAGTCCTTTGTGTTTGTGTCATTGAGTTGCAAGAGATTTTTTTATATATATTCTTGAGCCTAGCCCCTTTTCAGGTCTATGATTTGCTACTATTTTCTCCCACTCTGTGGGTTATCTTTTCACCCTCTTGGTAGTGTCCATTGGAGCACAAGTTTTTCACTTTGATGACGAACAACTTGTTTTTTCTTTTGTTGCTTGTGCTTTTGGTGTCTATAGCTAAGAATCCAAGACCAAATACAGGGTCATGAAGATTGATTTCTATTTTCCTCCTAAGAGTTTATGTATTTAGCTCTTATATTTAGGTCTTTCTTCTGTTTTGACTTCATTTTGGTATGTGGTGTGAGGTAGGGACTCCACTTTATTCTTTTGCATGTTGGAGATCCAGCTGTCCCAGTACCATTTGTTGAAGAGATTATTGTTTCCCCATGGACTTGCCTTGGCATCCTTGTCAAAATCAGTTGACCATAGATGTATGGGTTTATTTCTGGACTCTCAGTTCTATCCCACTGGCTCATATGTCTGTCCTTATGCCATACCACACTGTCTTGATTACTGTAAATTTTTATTAAGTTTGGAATAAGTAGGAGTTCTTAAGCTTTTTTTCTTCTTCTTTTTTTTTTTTTTTAAGATTGTTTTGACTAATCTGCTTCCCTTAAGTTTCCATATGCATTTTTGGATCAGCTCGTCAATTTCTGCAAAGAAGCCAGCTGGGATTTTGATAGGGGTTGTGTTGAATCTGTGGATCAATTTGGGGAGTAGTGACCATGAACATGGGATATCTTTCCATTTGTTGTAGATCTTTAATGTTTTTCAACAATCTTTTGTGGTTTTCATTGTTCAAGTCTTGGCACTTACTTGTTAAATTTATTCCTGAGTTCTCAACAACGACAAAATAAATGTTAAAACACTTGTTCCTGAGTATTTTGTTCTTTTTCATGCTATTACCAATGCATCAACAATTTCTTAATTTCACTTTTACTTAGCTCATTGTTCTCATATCCTGCAGCCTTCCTGAACTAGTTTATTAGCTCTGGTATTTTTTTAGTAGATTCTTTGGGGTTTTCTATATACAAGATCATGTCATCTTCAGAGAGAGTTTACATCTTCCTTACCAATCTGGGGACCTTTTGCTTCATTGTCTGGCCTAATTGCCCTAGCTAGAGCCTCTGGTATATGTCAGGCAGCAGTGGCAAGAGCAGAATCCTTGTTTCAGATCTTAGAGAAAGCATCTGGTCTTTGACCCTTAAGTACGATGTTTGCTGTGGGTTTTCCATAGATGCCTTTTATCAGATTAAGGAAGTTCCTTCTACTCTTAGTTTGTCTATTGTTTTTTATCATGAAAGGTTGGACTTTGTCAAATGCTTTTTCTGTTTCAATTGAGATGGTCACGTGGTTTGGTTCTTTAGTCTACTGATAGGGTGCATTGTAGGCAGTTTAAATGCAGCATGTCCAGACCTCCACTCCATTTCAGTTACTCAGTCATGTCCTCCTTGAACACCTAACCTAGTATGTGGGGGCAGGGGGCTTGGGAGATTGTGGGGGTGTGTGTGCCAGAACCAAGGCTTGTGTTATGAAGAGGAATTCGCCAGGTTACAAAGGGTGGAAAGGGTCAGGAGGCATCATGCCCAGAGCCTTTCCCGGTGGCCCTGCCAGTGGGCTCTGTGTCCCTCCTCTCTGACACATAACTCCTTCCACTTACCTGATCCCGTTGCACAGAGCTTGTCTCTAGGCGTCTTTGTATTTCCCCTGCCAGACCAGTCCTCCTGACCCTGGCGGCCCCTCTCTGGCACTGCGGCACCCCTGCTCACAGGTCTGCGCACAGTGAGTTCTCAGTGTTCCAGGAACGAGACAGGCTTCCGGGCCGCTTAGCTTATTCCGCCGCAGCCCAGCAGCCAGATGACGCTTCCCTCAGCCCTCTGGTCACCTCAGGTGTGCATTCCTTCTGTCCCTACTTGAGGAGCACCCCCTGTGCCAGTCAGCACCCTGGGTGTAGAGACACCACAGACAAGGTGTCTTGGCCAGCTAGCGCTGCTGTAACAACAGATACCACAAGGGGGTGGCTTCAAAGAACAGAAATGTGTTTTTGCACAGTTCTGGAGGCTTAAAGTCCACATCAGGGTCCGGGCCGTGTCAGTGCCTTCCTTGTTGGTGGCCTCCAGCGTTCTTTGGTTCCTTGGCTTATAGACCATCCTCACATGGCACGTGTTTCCTCTGCGCACGCGTGTGCGTGTGCGTGTGTGTGTGTGTGTGTGTGTGAGAGAGAGAGGGAGAGGGAGAGGGAGAGGGAGAGGGAGAGATTAGGTTAGAACCCACCTACCCAGATAGGATCGAATTGCCATAACAAAGAAAATGTGATTTTGCAGTCGGCTCCCACCCACCGGGGCAGGGTTAGCTCCCACACGTATTTCTGGGAACACAAGCCAATCCGGAGCACAAGGCCTGTGCCCCTCCCACAGGCCTTTTGAAAATGGGGGAGATGG